CTCCTTAAATCATGCTGAAATTCTTGCAATTCATGAAGCTAGTCGAGAATGTGTATGGTTAAGATCAATGACTCAACACATTCGTGAAACATGTGATCTATCATCTAGTAAAAATCTTCCAACGATACTTTACGAAGATAACAGAGCATGTATAGCTCAAATCAAAGGAGGATATATTAAAGGAGATAGAACAAAACATATTTCACCAAAACTTTTCTATACTCATGATCTTGAAAAGAATGGTACTATCACTGTTCAACAAATTTGTTCGAAAGATAACTTGGCAGATATATTCACAAAGGCATTACCTACAAAACCCTTTGAAACATTGGTGCGCGACATTGGAATACGACGACTCAAAGATCTCAAGTGATGTTTCATGAGGGGGAGTTAAATATATTGTATTATTTTTGGGTTTATTAGATTATATGAAATATGTACTATTTTTCCTTCACTAGGATTTTTTCCCACTGGGTTTTTTCCCACTGGGTTTTAACGAGGTATATTTCATATATACAATGGGCATCTAAAGGGGAGTATTATGAATTTTTAATTAAATAGATGCCCACTAACTCTTGCTTAGTGTCCAATTTTGAGGTGTCTCAAAATCCATGCTCCATATGTCCTCTATGTGTCTTTTATTCATAAACCTCATATGTTTCATTATCCATGCACCATGTGTTGAAATTATAATGCCCTATGTGTCTCAATTTTAGACATTATTAGTGTCATGTAAATCACACCACATGCTTATCCATGGCCTATAAATAAGGTCAATGCGGTGCTCAATTAGTAGTGAGAATTTGTGAGAAATTAATGAGAAATTTGGTGGGAAATCAAGTTTGAAAATTGGTGGGAAATGTCATTTTGAATTTTGAAATTTCTTTATTATTTGAATTGTTTTGTTTATTTTATTTCTCTGACGTTGCCTCGTTTCGTTCCTCAATTTTACAACAGTTTTTTCTTTCTTTTGTTTTTTCTGTGGTTGTTTTGAGATTTTTATACTTAATTAAGCTTCAATCTACCTAATCTTGTTTTGAAAAGAATTTTGATTAAATCTTGAATTCAAAATTTGGAAATTAAAAATTTTTCCTTTTAGATTATATCATTAGTTTTTAAAATCAAGTCTTCTCCCAAATCCTAATTTTGTTGGAGTTTATAAAATTAAAAAAAAAGGTAAAAGGAGGAAAACAAACTCTCTCTTTTGAAAAGCTTATTTTGTTGGCTCACCATCTCTTTTCCATCTCCGTAACCCACAGCAGCCACGACTTCACTAATTTAATGTTTAAATTGTTCAATTGGTAGTGTATTTTTATAAATTAAATTTTTAAATTTTGTTAATAGATTTTTAATTAAATCTTAAATACGATGTTATAAGAATTTAATTTTTTTTTATTAAATTTTTCCTAAATTTAGAAGTCTAAATTGTTTAAGATTCTTCTCAAATCTTTTAGAAATTTAATTTAGGGGGTGGACATGCCTTAGGTTCAAGTTCGACACATACTAAGTTGCTTGATCGTCCAAATTGACGTGTTCTGGCCACTAATTTAGGTACTCTTTTAGCTAGTTTGAATTGCATTTAGATAAACCTTCATAATTTTGTTTTGGCTTCTTAGGTGCTTTTGATGTTATTGTTCTTTATGTTAACTATACGAGTTTCAATTATATCAAATATTTTGATGATGACAAACTCTATTTACTGATGACTTTAGTGCTTCAAAGTGTAGTTCAAAAAGACAAAACCAATACTTTTCGAATTACTCAAATCGGAATTCAAACAAACAAATTATGATCAAAACAAGTTGGTAGAATAAATCCTAAGTAGCAAGTGAGCATGGACAAATGGAACCCTTAGAAGTTGACATGTGGCATCGACCTACGTATCTTTACTGATGTGGCATTCAAGAATTGAACAAATGAGAAGATGGCATGTGCCGGTTTCAAATATCAAGAAATCAAATTTCGACAAATCTCTTGATCTTATAATCACACCAATCTCCATTTCAATTCCACAATTTCTTCAAATCTCCATAAATTTTCTTTATTCCTTTACTCCTTATCTTTCTTCATCTCAACCGTCTATTCAATTTTGTCCTAAATCCAATGGCCAAGATTCATTTTTAAAACTCTATTTAAAACCACCAACTTCATCCTTCTCTACACCAATTCATGAAGCAAAACCAGCTTTCTCCTTCTCAATTTTGCTCTCAAAATCTCTAAATTCTCATTCTCTCATACATCAAAATTTTCTGATTTTTGTTATTGTGAGAGACACATCAGAGTGGGAGTTATGTATTTGAGTGAATTTGTAAATACACCTTAGTGAGATATTTCTTTGTATTGTTTATTTTATTTCATTCAGGATTTGGTATATTAAGATGTGTGCACTTTGGGATTATGAGAGTAGTTTGATCTTGAACTAGTGAAAAAGATCATAAGTGGTTTAACTTTATCTCTAAAAAAGGCAATCCCCTTTCTTCCAGCCTCGCTCCCTTTGCAACTAGAGCTAAAATGATGCATTTAGACAAATTATGTTTGCGCCTAAACGACCAGATGCCAAAATTCGCTTCAACTTCGTAGAGCCTAAGCACCAACGCGTGCGGGAATTTTGACTCATTTTTCTTCTTTGTTTGCTTTTTTTCTCTTGTTTTCCAATTCAACTCCGACAAAATAATAATAATAATAATAATAATAATAATAATAAATATCATAAACAATTAAACTAGCGAACAAAAAACTATCAAATGATTTCAAAAATACTTTATAACTCAAAATATAACCATAAATTTTTATTTTTATTTTATATAAATTAATTTATGTTAAAATTTCACAAATAGATATCAAAATGAAGTTAAAAAGTAAAGGAAACAAAATAAACATTTTTTTGACGCACATAATCGTATTTGAACCTATGATTTTTTCTTGACGCATCCTCCAAACAAAAAGGAGAGCTTTCCAAACACAGCGGTACGTTTAGATTTCCCGGTGGAAATCTATAATATAGAGAACCAGATGAACAAAAATATCATCTACCCAATAACCCACATGCACATATGAATCTCACAAATTCCGACGACAAATAAGACAAAGCAAAAACAAAACAAAAATCATATCCAATATATATCATATTTTGGAAGTTTGTTCATTCGTAGATATTTGTCTCCCAAAAATTTGAATTGTAGGGTTCTAATTCAATCCCACCCCCTCTTCTTATCTTCCCACCTCCCCTCAAAAATCACATCTCTCAACTTTCACGAACCTCAAACCTTCCCAACAATGGCGTCCGCCACTTTAACTTCTTCCTCGCCGACGCGTCTCCGACAACGACGACCCCCCGGCGCCCGAGAATTATCGAAATCCAACCCCGTAAATCTGATTAGCTTTTCGTTTTCGCCGTTGAAGAGGGGTGCGGCAGTGGTGGTGAGGTCGAGGACGGCAGAGTACGGCGCGGCGGTAGCGGAGGAGGAGGAGGAGATGGGGAGGATCCGGCGGCTGCAGAACGGGTCGGACGTGCGGGGGGTGGCGGTGGAGGGGGAGAAGGGGAGGGAAGTGGACCTGACACCGGCGGCGGTGGAGGCGATCGTGGAGAGCTTCGGAGAGTGGGTGGTGGAGGGGGAGAGTGGGCGGCGCGTGGAGCGCGTGAGGGTGTCGCTGGGGAGGGACCCGAGAATATCGGGGGGTTGCCTGAGCTCGGCGGTGTTCGCCGGACTTTCGAGGGCGGGGTGTTTGGTGTTCGATATGGGACTGGCCACCACGCCGGCGTGCTTCATGAGCACCGTTTTGCCTCCATTCTCTTACGATGCTTCCATTATGGTTCGTACAATATTTATTATTTTTTTTTTCGGAGGAATATATTTATTATTTGTTATAGCAAAATTTAATTTTGCTTTTTTTCTTTCCTCTTGCAACCAATCAACATTCCGCCACGTCGCACCGGCTCTTTTATCTTTAAAAGAAACAAACGTTTCCGCTAAATATTTAACAACTATTAATGCAAAATAATAATAATAATAATTAAAAAAATAATAAATTGTCAAATATTTAATAGTGTTAACGAGTAAGTTTCTTTTTAACTTTAACGAGCCATATTTTTTTATCCTTAAAAGGAAATTTTTTTTGCTTAACTTACTCCTCAACACCATTTTTTACCAACTACTATTAAATGTTAGATGAGTAAGAGTGAGAAAATGCTCCAACTAAAAAAACTATCAAATTTTTGTTGATGGTCAACAATATAATGAGGGGTGACAGGTAACTACTTGAGTATTTTATTTTTCTTTGGTGAAGCGAGCATTTTAATACTGAGTCTTTACCGCCATTAAATTTTCTACCGGAGATATTTTTGAAGAAAGAGATATTTTCGTGATTTTCAAGAAAAATAAAGAGCTGTTAGTTAACTTGTAGTGATAGTTAGTAGGAAATAAGTATATTATCATTTTAAATAACCTTTGATTTCTTTTTATACAGAAGGTTATTAAGGGTTTTGTAACGTTTTTATTTCTTGTTTTCAATTTCCATTTTTTTAAGAAATATGAGCATTTTGAAGCTAATTATGGTTCTTGTTTCTCATTTTTTTGGAACGTTGTCAAAATTGTATAGAAATTTTAGAAACAACGAAAACAATTTTCCTCTTCCTTGTTTCCATTTCCAATTTGTCCCAAAACGTAAATAACAAAATTGTTTTATCATACTTAAATTCATTGATGTAAAGTTATGCAATTCATTTTCCTTTATTAAAAATGAAGAACCAAGAAGAAAAAACGTGAATACTACCAAACCAACCCTAAAATATTTTAGGTCTGATCCTCTTCTTCTTGCCCAATGACCCTTTAGTCGTTGTGTGGTATAGAAAAATTATAATTATATTTGTGTGTGTTTGTTGCAGATGACAGCATCTCATTTACCGTATACTCGAAACGGGCTGAAGTTTTTCACGAAGAGAGGAGGGCTGAGGTCGCCGGAGGTGGAGCAGATATGCGAGAGAGCCGCCGTGAAGTACGCCAACAGAGCGGTGAAAGTCTCCACCGTTCTCCCAACGTCGACGTCCAGGGTGGACTTCATGGCGGCGTACGCCCACCACCTCCGCCAAATCATTAAACAAAGAATCAACCATCCTTTGCATTACGATACTCCTCTCCAAGGATTTCAGGTTCTCTTCTCTCTCTCTCTCTATTAATTTCTCTCCAATGATTCCTTTTTTGCCTGTGCTCTCGTGAATTGTGTGTTATGTTTGTGGTGTTAAATTGCTCTATTCTAAACGTTTTGGGTGATGCTGAATTCTGTCGAGCTGGCCGTTCTGACAGAAGGTTGATGCGGTTACGAAATTGTTGGACTTGAGGTTGGTATTCCTCGGGTTGATAAGATGAAACTTGAGAGATTCTCTAGTAATTCATACGGTCTCAATTAGGTTTTGACCAAGGTTTTAAATGTCAATATATATCATTGAAAATAGGTCTAAATTTCATGTCAATGTAGGTGTTGTTGGATATTTCTGGAAATATTATAAAAATAAAAAATTCGTAATGAGTACTTAATTTCACTCCTAAATAAGTTTAAAATGAAATGATCACTGTACCAATGATTTTTTGTTGATATTTTTTTACTTTTATCGATTTTTCATATTAAACAAGTAAAAAGTGATTAATATTATATATTTTTAATACTATAGAAATGAAGTTTTTTTAAAATACATATTTTAAAAGAAAAATATTCATATTCTACTATATTCTACCAACCACCACTAAATTTTTGACTAGATATAAATGAAAAAAAAAAGAAAGAAAAATAGATATTATTCCTGTTTTTCAAAAAATTAAAAGGCTATCAAACTTTTATTAATTGTTAGCATAAAGATGGGTGTTGACGGGAAAGCAGTACCTAAGTATTTCTCATTCTAAAATTTTACCTTTGTGTAAAACTGCAGATAATAGTGAATGCTGGTAATGGATCGGGAGGATTCTTCACCTGGGATGTCTTGGGCAAGCTCGGCGCCGACACGTTTGGTTCTCTTCACCTCAACCCGGATGGCATGTTCCCCAACCACATTCCCAACCCTGAGGACAAAACCGCCATGTCACTCACCCGCGCTGCTGTCCTCGATGCCCAAGCCGACCTTGGTGTCGTCTTCGACACCGATGTCGACCGCAGTGGCATCGTCGACCGCCACGGCAACCCGATCAATGGCGACAAGCTCATCGCTCTCATGTCAGCCATTGTGCTCCGAGAGCACCCTGGCACAACTATCGTCACGGATGCTCGCACCAGTGTTGCCCTAACCAAGTTCATCATCGATCGAGGCGGGCGGCATTGCCTGTACCGCGTCGGGTACCGCAACGTCATCGACAAAGGAATTCAGCTCAACCTCGATGGGGTCGAGACGCATTTGATGATGGAGACCTCGGGGCATGGTGCCCTTAAGGAGAATTATTTTTTGGATGATGGAGCTTATATGGTGGTGAAGGTTATAATTGAAATGGTGAGGATGAAGCTTGAGGGATCGGATGAAGGGATTGGGAGTCTCATAAAGGATTTGGAAGAACCATCAGAGGCTGTGGAATTGAGAATGAACGTCATATCTGAGCCAAGATTTGCCAAAGCAAAGGCTGTGGAGGCAATTGAGACTTTCAGAAACTTTGTCCAGGTAATTTTAATTTACCACTATTTGGTCACTTTTTTTTTCTAATAATATTATATATCCGTTAATTATAAGCTTGATTCTAGAATGGGACAAGTGTGTCTTAATATATCTCAAAACTTTAAAGGAACAATACTTAACTACTTAATTAGTTAGTACCTATCTTATATCAATCAGCAATAAAAAAATTTTATTGGTGGCGAGAAAAAATTGGTACCCACACGTGAACATCTAAATCTTTTTCACTTTAAAAAGTGTTTGAGTAGTTTCTTAAAATTTTTATTTTTTTTTCAAACCCCATGATGATTACTTACCATAAGAATTAGAAATTTATATGTGTTTCTCGACACCAAATGTTGTAGAGTCAGATGATTTTCCCGTGAGATTAGTCGAGAATTTCAAATTTTTTTTGTGTGTCTAAGTTATTAAACATTTGTTTTATTATTAGACACAAAATTTTAAGTTTCAAGAAAGGAGTATTTTAAGTTTCAAGAAATAAGTAAATGTTTCAAGTTTTTTCCTTTTTTTTTTCTTTTTTTTTTTTATAACKAGGAGTCGAGGCTCCTCTATATCCAAGGACTCCTCCACCCACTCCAAGGCCCAAATTCATGAGACACTAAAGATTTTTTTTATTAAACTTAGTCAGTATGATCGAAAGACCCAAGTCCTTCCCAACCGTGCTATCCGTTGGGCTCATCTTTTACTCTTTTGATGGTTTTTTCTTCTCTTTTTATTTTTTTTCCAATTAACTAAATATTATATCATATTTTAACATTCACCAAGGTGATGAACTAAATTGAAAAATATTAAAATATGAAGGACTTAATTGAAATTTTTTATACAATATGGACTTAATTGAAAAAACCAATGTTTAGGAAGGGAAGATTGAGGGATGGGAACTGGACTCATGTGGAGACTGCTGGGTGAGCGAAGGCTGCCTGGTAGACTTGAATGACTATCCCAACCCAATTGATGCTCAGATGTACAGGTCAGAATTTCCACTTTTTTTCTTTGTTTAATTTTCATTTTGGTCCCAAACTTCTAGATATATTTTATTTTGATCCCTAAATTTTTAGGTGTCTGTCTAGTCTAATGAACGTTTTGAGAAAATAACTGTTTTGGTCCCAAACTTTCAAAACATAGATTTTATTTTTCTTTCAAAGTTCAAGATTGAAATAGACATTTTGAGAATTAATTTATGGATCAAAATGAAAAAACTTAGAAGTTTAAGGACGACAAGGAGTATTTTGAAAGTTCAAGAACAAAAATGAAATGATCTCGAGAGTTCTGAGGACCCAAATGAGGTTGGAACATTTCTTTTAGGTTAAATAACTATTTTAATGAGAAATTGTAGTGGGTAGCAAAAATCTTTTTTGTATTTCAAAACATGTCACATGTTTTCTAAATTTTCAAATATAGCAAAAAATTTTACTTATATCAATAGTATATCAAACACTCATATCAGTAGTATTTCAAATATATATATCAGTAGTCATATGTATTACAGATGTATATCATTTCGGTAAAGTTGTCACTTCAAAATTGGACTTCTGTTTTTTCCTTAAAGTGCTATATTTGACAAAACTCAATGTGGTTATTATTTTGCTAATTTTACTAAATATTTTTGACATATTTGCAACTATCCCTAATTTAATTTAGTAAAAAAAATTACTATTTTAATAGGTTTGTGTGTGGTTTCAATTATTTAATTTAGTAAAAAAATTACTATTTTAATATGTCTGTGTGTGGTTTCAATTTGGTTCTCATCGTTTTAAAAGTTTTTGTTTCCATCCTATTATTTGATTAAATCTTTTAAAACATTACTAAATTGACTAAATGTTGACCGTTTTCTTTAGATGCTAGCTCATTCTCTCTATTTATCACGTCTAAAGAAAATATGTCAAACATCCAAAGAAAATGTGCCATGTATATATATGCCAAGCTGAAAATAACCTACCTTTGTTGAGGAGAAAAAAAACAAAGAGAAACTATTTGCAACATCAATGACAATCTAAAAGATTTACAAAAATGACATAGATCAAATTGAAACGAAGATTATCAAACTAAAATATACTTATAAACTTATTATTATCATTATTATTATTATTATTATTATTATTATTTTATAATGTTTTGGTGGAAGATTAATATTGCAGGGTTAAAGTATTTGATAAGGAAAATAGGGAAATTGGTTGGGTGCATTTAAGGCAGAGCATCCACAATCCAAACCTTGCTTTGAATATGCAATCATCTTTGCCTGGAGGCTGCCTCCAAATCACCACAGACTTCAGAGATAAGTATGCACCTACTTTCATAATTTTGCGATAAGGATCTCCATTAAAAGAAAATGAGTCAAATCTAAAAATAAAAGCCGATCAAAATCGATGACCAATAAGAGTCACGATCTTAAAAAAAGACAGGTTAAGGATTCTAGAAAATAAGCCTTATAAAAATTTATAATAGACCTGGATTACTTCTTTAATTACCAATTGATTTTGCTAAAACCATCATAAAATTTTAATTACATTCATAATAGGATTAGTCCCAACTGCTTTTCCTCCCAAATAATGCATTGAAATTCGGTTAAAAAAAGTTTTAAAATTAAAATAATTAATTGGTAAGTTTATATGACATAATAATTAAGAGAGAAAAGTCAAAATCTTTATCAACTTTCTTAAAATTTTGGAGGAGTAATTAGAAACTTTCTTTTCTCACGTTCTCCTCGAAAATTTTGGTACTCACTGAGCAGATCATCAGTCGACAAACAGACTATATTTGAAAAATATTATAATGAAAAGAATTAAATTAAAAAAATTAAATGTTAGGGGTTTAGTCTTAAATAAAAACACTACATTTTAAAACTCATCTACCACATTCACAAAATGTCAAGTTGGATTTATTTAACTAGTTTATAAAGGAATAGTAACTAACTTAAATAAAATAGAACATTGTGTTAAGTTTTAATCAAATAAGAAGGAAGAAATAAAATTTTTAAATCAACAAGGATCAAACTGCAATTTAAAGAAAATGATTATACTATAAATATAATTAAATTTTAAGTTTGGGCTGTTAAATAATATGCTAATTGTTTTGGCAGATTTCTAGTGGTGAGCGGATTGGATCGTTTCCTTGATGTGGGTCAGGTGGAGAAGTTCGCAAAGAATGGAGTTGTAGGATAGGGGAACAATTGAAAATAATTGATTTTGGAGTTTAATTAGAAAAATGTACAGTAGGCAGATATAAACTATATTATATACACCCGAACATGAGCATTATATCTCAACAATAATTGATACATAGTCTTTTGTTCAAAGTCGGAGGTTCAATTTTTCGTATTTGTCGTATTAGAAAAAATTATATTATACAATTTTGCTCTTGATGGGATGGAAAATGTATAATATCCAATGCAATCACACGTCTTCTCACCTACTGTGTAATATTATTGAAAATTGGAATTTTAGATTGTGGTTCAGTTGAGTAAGTCCCTTTGTTAGAATTTTAGTTTGGTTTCCAAAAATACAGGGATNCCTCACTTTTAAGAAACGTTTCCAAAATCACTGTTAATTGCCTAAAATGAGTCTTGAACGATGTCATCTTCGGAGTCTCAATCAACTTTTATTCTGGGTCAGGTCATAAACAATAATATCATTATTTGTCATGAAAGTTTACACGCTTTAAAGGTTATTACAAAAGAGAGAGAATGGGTGGCAGCCTAAAACTAGACATGAGCAAGGCTTACAATTTAGTGGAATGGAGCTTCCTAGAAAAATTAATGTGTAAGCTAGGTTTTGCGAAGGAGTGAGCGGATTTGGTCATTAATTGTATATCGACTGTCAAGTTTTTATCATTATTAATGGAGAGAGTCGGGTCAATATAATTCCTGGTCGAGACCTTCGTCGAGGTGATATGCTTTCTCCTTTATCTTTTTCTAGTCATGTTTGCGATAAGGGTAAGGGGCGATGGCTAAGGGGGTGGATCAGTGGTTTTCAATTGCAGAAAGGTGCCCATAAATCTCTCATCTTTTCTTTGTTGATAATAGCCTTATTTTTCTGTGTGCGGATTGTTTGGGATTTTTGGAATAAAAATAAATGATAGAGTGCAAATATACACCCGTCACAAGTAGTAAAATGGAAAGAGTATTCCGGGTATCGATCCCCGTGGATAAATGAAGTCTTTTTTTTAATAAAAAATGTTAATGATCGGTGGCTTTGCAATTGATTTAGGGGTAACAAATATCAAGGATATTGTTGGTTTTGGTATTTTAAGACTCAATGCAATAAACCTAGTCCAATTACTCAGAATTAGCTAAAAATACGACAATTTTTTTCCAACTGGCGCCTCTCACTATTTTTCATCGGTTTTGCTTTGACATCTTCTTATGTCTAAGTGATTTTGAAGGTATAAGTTCACCCCTAATATATCTATTAGAAAATTGAACTTAATTTAATAAAAACCAACTGTAACAACCTTAGGTCGAGATCCTATGTCTAGGCTACCCGAGCGAAATTTTTATGTCTAAAGTATTTCTCTCTAAAGTTAAATCATCAAAGTTATGAAAATGTATTAACCCCTTTTAGTATTAATGCTTGGTTAAAATATTAAATGGCAAAATCAAGTTTTAAGTTTTCTAAAACAACTTTATGTGATAAAAGAAGAGAAAAACACATTTTGCCTTCTTGGATTTTAAAAATTTTAGCATACTATCCATAACTGGGCTTGGGAAAAATAAATTTAGCTGATGACAATAAAGGAAAAACAGAATTCAATGTTGGTGGAAGTAGATAGTATGATTGAAAGATGTTACCATATTTTGGTTCGGGAGTCGATTGAGCGTAGGAAAGGTGTTAGCGCCCTACGACACCTGTTCGAAAACGGTACCATATTTGTTGATGTGTTTGATTTTAAATGTCCAAAATTTATTGGTTCATATTTTATCGTAAAATATGAATCAATAAGCATGAGTGGCGCAAAGACCATTAGAAAAACAAATTATCACCTTGAGAATATTGGAAAGTCCCAATTTCCGTCATTGGAGCTTCTGAAATAATTATTTAAAAAAATGATTAAAAAAATGAAATAAAATTTAATTTGAGGCAACACCTTAAGATTGCCACTTAAAATTCTTTTTTATAATACAAACTTTTTATTTTTTAAATCTGTGTCATGCAATTTTATTGCCAAACATCTTACCACTATGCCAATACCTAAACATGTATACTGAGTTTCCTTTTAAAGAGACAAAGTTTTCATTTTTGAAATTTGATAAAAAAAAAAGAAAAAAGTGAAAAAAAACTATAACCATAATCCCCCATTATTATACATGTCATAACACGTAATATCTGTGTACTTTTCTTTAGTTATACATCCAGGTTTGTTTAAGCCTAATATGTTGTATTGGTATCTTTTAAACTCTTCTTCATTGAAAGATATATTTTTCAATACAATAGTTATAGAACAAGTCGTTCGTTTTATGGGATAACTTCGGCCTCGAGCTCGAGGTTTTAATTTTTTCACAGTAGTACTTTTGTTGACTTGCGCTTTACTAATGACTAAATTTCTTTCGTTGAAACCCATATTGTGACTAGCATTTGCTGCTGCCGAATAAACCAATTTTATTCACTTTTTCCAAAACAAATCTTTAATTACTTTTTAATCTTAAAAAAGAAAATCTTACTTGAAAGGAAAGAAGAAAACAAATCTTACTGTTCTAAATAAAAATTTAATTTTTCAAAATCTTTATTTTCTTTCCTTTTAAAAAACCTTTGTTCTTTTTAATTAAAAAAAAAGAACTCTATTTCTAAAATAACGTTTTTTTCTTATTATTATTTAATAAAAAACACTTGCATTTCTCATAATATAGTTTTGAAAAAACGTTTTCTCTTCTACTCTTAAAGAAATATTCTGTTTAAAGCCAAAAATTTCATTTTTTTCTATTTCCGAACTCACCTTCTCACCTAGGTAGTTTTAAATAGAGGTTCCCAGAATGTTGCAGGTCGAGGAGGTGTATATCCGAGCGGGTTCGTCGGAATTAATTTGTGCCGCTACCGGAGTTGATCGTGGCCGGAGGTCGCCGGTGTGGATGAAGAAGAAGAAAAGATGATGGTAAAAAAAAGAAGGAAGTGAATAATTTGATTTTTTTCTCCTTTCTGTCCCTCCTATCTGATTTGCTTGTCCT